TTTTTTTAGTTTTTTCGTGCCGAGTAGTGGAAACAGGAGTTTGTTAAGTGTCGAGATCTAGAACTATTCAGCTACAGAATCAAATTCATCAGCTGATTGGATATGCTAAAGATAGTATTTCAATTATTGAGAGTGGAAATAATAGTTTTCTTTATAGTAAAAATCGAGTCCGATACGTCAAACGTGCTGGAATGACAGTTAAAATCTTGACATAAACCACGGAATGATTCGTTTAGTTCAAAATTAGTTTTGCATGGCTTTAAAAATAGAGGTCGAAAGTGTCTTGACATTCGAGAAGGAACATTAAAATTTACCTCAGCCAGGAGGGCCGGGCTATTAATCAAGCCTGTCATTAATTTTACGATAAATATTATACCCAGCATTTCTCTACGACTTGCGAGTGTAGGCAAATTTATGAGCTTTAGACGACTTGTGTAAGGGGGGAGATTGTAATCTGAATCCCAAAAAAAAAGGTTCCGTACGTCATGCGGACTGCGCCCCTCGTGTCGGTTGGGCGGGAATGGAGGGTAAAAAGCCGTTGGGATTAATTAATTAATTATCGCATTTTCAGGAAATACTTCCTAAAGAATTATCTAACGGGATTTCGGAGTTGAATTCGGGTTACTTTGAGATACTTTCATTTCGTAACTTGCTTTTACCTACGGAAAAATTTTGTGTGGAGGAATATGCTAACACCGTCACGAAAAGATTGTCCAAATCAAGAAAATTTATTCTCAGCTTCAAATTGCCCTCTATTATATTAGAATTGAACTTTCCTTAATTTTTCGCAATTAAATTTTGATTTACATGATTTTTTTTTAAAGATTGAGCTATACTAAAAAAAAATCATGAAATAAATTCACCGATGAAAACATTTTAAATATCGTAAAAAGAAATCAATACAAAATGCTTTTGTGAGTGACTGTATACATATACCTTAATATAGAAAGGCCCTAACTCTTTTCTTTCGAAATTCAGTTTTATACAAAAGTCGGAAGATTATTCACCAAGGTCGTAATAGACTTCAAAACCAACTGATACATCAATAAATTAGTTTCATAGATTATTAAAAACCAGTGCTTTTAAGAAAATTGTAATTGAATAACTTTACTTTTTATTCAGATTTTTAACTACTCTATAAAGAAGCAATCATGTTAGATGGGGCCTTTCTCTATTACGGCAACGATATGTACATATGTATGTACATGCAGTCAAAGACAAAAGAAATTGCCAAAAAACAACGCGTTTTTCAGCAACTTTGAACTTGCTCTTTGTTATACTAAAATTTAAGGGGCTATACTTAACTTATACTTAAAATTTCTCTAAAAAATCTGATAAGAAAGTTGCAAATTAGTATCCAAATTTAATTAACCTAAACTACATTTTCATGAAAACTTAGCGGAAAATATTAAAAAAAGAGCTACATCTTTGACCATAGGTGGATGTTACAGCGTCAAATAAAACAACTATTTATTTTATTTACACTTTCAGTTGAATTGCAAATTTTTTATTTTTTCAAATTAATTCACTTCTAATTTTTTCTCTTTCATATCAATATATATTGCTGATTTACAATATAGATATTTGTCAAATACATGTTGATCACGTATGGGAATATCCCTATTTTGTTACTAAATACTGAATACACAAAAAAGATTTTAAATTTGGGCAAAAATTTGGGGAGCTTTTTAAAGTTTTGCAAAAAGTTTGATGTTTTGATTTATATGGTTTTCGGTTTAGTATGAACTTTATTTAATTGAAAAATTTACGAAAAATAATTGTCATGGAAAACATCTTAAATATTGTCAAAAAATTCCTGTATACTTATTTTTATGGGTGACTGCATTCTCCGTTATTCTGGGTGAAATGAATGGTAATTCCAAGTTATATGTACATAAGTCTGAGTATGGTTTGTTTTTTAAATTAACTAGAAAAACAATGAATGTGATAATATTTTTTTTTCTTTTTTTCTTAAATTAATAATTGAATATGTTGAGTATTATACAGTATCGGTCATATTAATATCACCCCCATTTCAAAGTGACTTTGTTTGTCACTTATGTTTAATTATTTATTTTAAGAATTTTAAATTAAAACACAGTCTATCCTCTAACAAACCCCATATAAACCCAATTTTAAAACTTCGTAAAAGACTACAAAAGAATGCAACAAATTTTCATCGAAATTTAAAATTTTTTTCTCTGAAGTGTTAGAATTTTTTTGAGTACACAGTTTTATAGCCAATTCCATTTTAGTTTGATAATGTGAAAGCTTCAAGTGACTAAACTTAACGTTTATTTTTTAGAACTTTTGTCGCATTTGCTTCCATATAACGAATAAACTCAATTTATTTTTATATGGAAGAAACGCCTTCGGCGAAAAAATTCAAAAAAATAAACGGTAATTTTTAGCCACTTGAAGCTTTCACACTATCAAACTAAAATTGAATTGGCTATAAAATTGTGTACACAAAAAAATTCTAACACTTCAGAGAAAAAAATTTTAAATTTCTATGAAAATTTGTTGCTTTCTTTTGTAGTCTTTTACGAAATTTTAAAATTGGGTTTATATGGGTTTTGTTAGAGGATAAACTGTGTTTTAATTTAAAATTCTTAAAAGTAAATAATTATACATAAGTGACAAACAAAGTCACTTTGAAATGGGGGTGCTATTAATATGACCGATACTGTATAATACTCAACATATTCAATTATTAATTTAAGAAAAAAAGAAAAAAAAATATTATCACATTCATTGTTTTTCTAGTTAATTTAAAAAACAAACCATACTCAGACTTATGTACATATAACTTGGGATTACCATTCATTTCACCCAGAATAACGGAGAATGCAGTCACCCATAAAAATAAGTATACAGGAATTTTTTGACAATATTTAAGATGTTTTCCATGACAATTATTTTTCGTAAATTTTTCAATTAAATAAAGTTCATACTAAACCGAAAACCATATAAATCAAAACATCAAACTTTTTGCAAAACTTTAAAAAGCTCCCCAAATTTTTGCCCAAATTTAAAATCTTTTTTTTTCGCAAAAAGTTTGTTGTTTTGATTTATATGGTTATTGGTTTAGTATGAACTTTATTTAAATGAAAAATTTACGAAAAATATTTGTCATGGAAAATATCTTAAATATTGTAAAACACCTCCGTATACTTATTTATGTGAATAATTGTGAAATAAAACTTACTTCAAATTTATCACAATAAACAAAACTAAACTAAAATTCATCACAATAAAACATAACTGAATTCAAATTCAATTTCAAATCTATCACAAAAAGTAATAATTAAAAAAATTTACTTAAAAGCTTTGTCCGCCACTGTGCTCAAAATTTAAAATATCTATTTTAAGCCTATCTTGAAGTTCTTCAGGGTACTTCAATAAATACCCATCCAAAACTTTTAAAAACTCTGCATTTCGGCTTACTGGCTGAGAGGCTTTTTCCGACTTCTGCAGCCAATCACTCACAGCTCCACACAGTGTGTCAAAACGATCTTCATCTCTTTTCCTCTTTGTCTGGCGACTTGTACGAGAAGCTGCTCCTTCCTCACTGCAAGCGCTAGAGAATGGCATTTGCGTTGGCGATTGGGCAATGAAATCGACCTCGGGTTGCGAGGGCTCCTCCTGCTCAAAAATGAGTTGCGAGTCACACACAACTTACTGCTCCGTTTGTGGCGTAAAAGTTTCCACGCTAGCGAAAGAGGTACTATTTGGTTGCGACTCATACATAATGTGCTGCTCCGTTTGTGGCGAAACACTTCCCACGCTGTCGAAAGTGGTATTACCAAAAGTCCTGTCATATGGAAGTATTTAATTAGTTTATGTTTATACATATATTATATCAGATCAATAAGAGCTTACTGTCGAGGTGCAACGTGACGTGCCAAGAATCCTATCGCCTCCATGTATTGCCAACCACCAATGTCCTTCGCAGCACTTCCAGAAGGCGCCTTCCTGCTTTCTTTCACAAAACGGTCTCGAAGAGACCTCCAGCGACTCTGGCACTGCTCTACTACAAATTTTTAACAAATTTACAACAATTCATTGCAATTTCTTTAAAACATTCAATTACCGGAGGCACCTGCGGCAGCCGCCACATAATTCCAGGCTTTCTCTTTTGCCAATTTGTTCCTATAACTGGNAGGAGGCACCTGCGGCAGCCGCCACATAATTTCAGGCTTTCCCTTTTGCCACTTTGTTCCTAAAACTGGGAACACTTTTGTCAAAAAGACAAGGGTGCATTTGTATCGCTTGTATTAATGTATATTCCATTTTATTCACTTTTATTTTTTATTCGTACAAAATCACAACTTTCTTTCACTAAATCAAATATTGCGCGCGAGATAAAATCCAAATGACAAGCAGCTGTCATTTGTGTTACGTACGCCAAAAGTTGAGAGTTGGCCAACGTTCGTCGGTTCCGTCAACGCAAGGGTTGCCAATCTGGCGCTCTACATGCAAATACACGTATTTAACTCAACTGTCAGTTTCATACTTGAGCGTCACGNCTTTTTTTCTCTAAATCAAATATGGCGCGCGAGATAAAATCCAAATGACAAGCAGCTGTCATTTGTGTTACGTACGCCAAAAGTTGAGAGTTGGCCAACGTTCGTCGGTTCCGTCAACGCAAGGGTTGCCAATCTGGCGCTCTACATGCAAATACACGCATTTAACTCAACTGTCAGTTTCATCCTTGAGCGTCCCCAAAGTACTCATTCTGACCATTCTGACGGGGCTATAAAACTGGTGACTTTTGACAGAGAGAGAACCGTATTTACTCTCTTTTTTGCCCTCCCAATAGTCAGAGAACCGCGTACGGGATCGATTTCCAGTAAAATCTGACTGATTCTGACTATTTCTGACTAGTCCGGACACGTACGGGATCGCAACTATTATTTCCATTCGTACTGTCATCAGGTATGTAACTTGTGAATAGAAATCGCTGCATCTTTTAGGCGCATCAATATTACAGTTATAGTAACATCCCGAGCTAATAAAAGGGAGGTAATAATAAAAATATAAAAGCGGCGCATGCGAGAATTTGCACCAGTGGTATTCATCTAAACCGATAACTTTATCAAGCAGATAATCTTATAAGTTTACGCACTCTGTTACAGGAACGATCCACACTCTCTTTTCGTTTACACATGCGAAAATAGTCGTGTTTTCTTTGGTTACAGAGCACAGTTTCACTAACTTTATACTACTAGCACGAGGATAAAGAAATTATAGAAACTAACTGCCTAAACGCGAGAAAATTATATTCACGAGATAATATTTATTTAAATAAATATACATATAACATAAAGGCTATTTATTTGAAGCTAGTTAAAAGAAACAATGGCAGAATGTCTGTTTGTGTATGAATTCATGTTACACGGCTACCAAACTTTGCGGCCAAATTATTAGTGAAGCAAAACAAACAGAAGGGATAATAATTGAACCAGATCTCTATTAGGATCACATCGTTGTTGTTGAATTAGCGAGCAAAATTTGTATGCGGATCCCGATTATTGCCCAAGAACACAGTTGCCAGATGTGGGGATTTTGTCCCATTTTGGGGATTTATGAAACCATTTGGGGATCGTTTTTTTCGTTTGGGGATGTGGGGATTTTATGGGGATTTTTGTTTAGTTTCAAACCTTGATATTGAAATTAAAAAATATATTTTTCTGGCTGCCCATCAAAATTTCTCGAATAAAGATTTTATTAGTACATACTTTTGGCGCGATATGTTTGTAAGGTTTTCTTAACGCCGTCAAAGCATTATTCGACGCAGATTTCTGCTTTGATTGGCTTTCACTGAACAAACAATTTTCGCAACAACCTCCACGAAAGAAATTCTAAAAAATAAATGGTATTCTTTAGCTATTTGAGACTAGTACTTTATTACACTAAAAAAGTTTGATTACTTTCTGATTTTAAACTATTATTTATGCTATTTCTGTTGTAGATTGAATTATATTTTAAAAGAAAATTAGTAAAAATAAATAAATAAACATATGTTGTAAAAACATATAACTTTGACGTATGCACATATACATATATAAATTTGTGAAAATGTGTAGAGAAAAGTATTCAAAACTGTAATAAAATGAAAACTGTGTTAAAATAAAAACTGTATTAAAATGAAAACTGGATTAAAATGAACTAACACAAATGTGAATACATACTTTTTTTATTTCTTACTAAAGGTGATTTAAATGGGGATTTAAAAGATAAATGGGGATTTTTTGGGGCTGCGGCCCGATATGGGGATCGGGTACAAAAATATTCTGGCAACACTGCCCAAGAAAGCATAGCTAGATTTGCGACAGAGTTGCATTGGCTTCAGTTTATCAAGTTTATTCAGTGAAATCGCAGGAGGAGTTTATCAGAAATATGTAAACGAGTTTCCTTACAAATTTTGACACTTCATTTATAAGGTTTACACAATTATAAGTTTATACGGTTTACAATGCATTTATATGGTTTGATGAATACCCTTACTATATCAAAGTATTGATTTTTTTTAAGCACCTCTATTTTTTAATCAAAATTTTCAATACATGTATGTATATAGAAGTATTGAAATTAAAGTAAAGCGCCGCAGGCGAAAGTTTTTAACAAAAAATCGCGCGAATTTTTATTACAAATTTTCATTATATATCGAGGTATTGAACTAAAACGACGCAGGCGAAAATTTGTAATAAAACATCGCGCGATTTTTGATTACAAATTGTCAATATTTATCGATATATAGAATTAAAAAGGGCCGCAGGCGGAAATGTTTAGAAAAAAAACTGCGCGATTTTTTATTAAATTTTTTGAATATTTATCGAAATATTTAATTAAAAAAGGGATTTTTTATTAAAAATTTTCACTTTGCCTCACAAAGTATTCACGGTCTGGCATTACATTCTTCGCGGCCATCGCTCAACAATTGTGTGTTTACAGATTGTTTGGGAATAAAAACTTATTTAAAGAACACTTTTATAAGCATTCATTGTTAAATATTTAGTAAAACAAGTAAGTTAAATACCCGGCGCACGTATTAAAGATAGGTTTTTCACCTTACCGAAAGCTACCGCTACATGGTAAGCCGGGGCGTATCAATTTTGAGTAAATTAGAGTCTTTAGATTTCGAAATTTTGAAGTTTCAAGCAGTTCTGAAATTTACCGTTATATGTAAAGCGGCTTCAATTTTAGTCCGCTTTCAATAATTTTCAACGTTTTGCTTTTATGTGGCAAGCACAATAACCATACCGAGTTTGGTACAAATTGGTAGAACGGTTACCGAGATACATATATGTGATCATAAGTGGGCGGTACCACGCCCATTTTCCAAAATTTTATCACAAACTTATTTCTTGCACATTAGCTTTATTATTTACTGATTTATCGAAGATTTTGTATTTCTCTAAATTACCGTTATATGGGATGTGGGCGTGGTTATTGTCCGATTTTAAAAAGTTTCGGCGATTTTTTATGCTGTACCAGGGCCAACAACTGTGCCAAGTTTGGAAGAAATTGGTGCAGCGGTTACCAAGATATACACATGTAACCATAAGTGGGCGTGGCTACGCCCATTTCCGACAATTTATAATATTCTTATTTTTCGTCTAAAACTTATTGTAAATATCAATTTTGAGTGAATAATCTCCAGTAGTTACTAAAATATCGCAGTTTACGTATTTCTCTAAATTACCGTTATATGGGATGTGGGCGTGGTTATTGTCTGATTTTAAAAATTTTCGGCCATTTTGTATGTTGTGCAAAGGTCAACAACTGTGCTAAGTTTGGAAGAAATTGGTGCAGCGGTTACCAAGATATACACATGTAACCATAAGTGGTCGTGGCTACGCCCATTTTCCGAAAATTTATAATATTCTTATTTTGCTTCTGAAGATTATTGTAAATATCAATTTTGAGTGAATAATCTCCAGTAGTTACTAAAATATCGCAGTTTTCATATTTCTAAAAATTACCGTTATATGGGAAGTGGGCGTGGTTACAGTCCGATTTTGCCCATTTTCAATACCAACCTACCTTGGATAAATGTAAACCTACATACCAAATTTCGTTCAGATATCTCAATTTTTGCTCGAGTTATCGTGTACACGGGCGGACGGACAGACGGACGGACAGACAGACATGGCTTAATCGATTTCTGTTTTCATTCTGATCATTTATGTATACATTTGTCTATATCTATCCCGATTCGTTTTGGCTGTTACAAACAACCGTTATGTGAACAAAATTAATATACCCTTGTGCACAAGTGCGCTCGGGTATAAAAAAGATGTGCATTCATTTGTTTATGAAGATGATATGTTAATAAAAAGAAAAGTGATTATTGCAGTGTTTATATAAAAAAGTGAGGTAATGGGGAAATTTTAACAACAAATAACTTTAAAACTTTTAAACTAGCAATTCTACACAAAATGTTGAAGATATCGGTCGATGAGGACTTTTCAACACTCCCTGCGAATTTCATTAAAAAGTTCGCTATACTTTGCCTGAAATAGGAAATGGTCCATTATTGGAAATCTCAGCCAAGGAGTTTAATGAATATGTTCCTGCTTTGTAATGTACCATATCATATTTGAAAACCGTGTGTAAGCATAGAAAAAGGAGACGATAATAAAGAAGTCGCAAATGTGTGTGGTCAAACTTAGGATATGTTTGCAAAGGGCAGTGAGATTGGCGGCATACAAGGAATTGTAAAGTGACAAACATCTATCACGCAGGCGTTTCAAAACACTAAACGACTCCACGGTCAGGTGTCAATTTGCTCAGGCTTTGCAAAACTAAGATAGCAATGAACTGCTAACAACTTATATATGTACATAAGTAGGGATATGTACATATGTGTAAATTACATATACATTTTTAGGCAGAACCAATTTTCATAAACAAGATTTCATTCCAGAAGATCAGCATCAAACTGTGAGCCGGTTTGAAGAATGACAAAATTGTTTGTAGCGAAGGCAACAGAAGCCAACTATTATGTTGCAAATGATATACTCATTAGTTACACAGCACTGGCGCACAACAGCGCACACAGCGTGAGTGCTGACAGCTAAAGAATAATTTTTCTCATTACGTTTGGTGTGAATAGGAAACCTTGTGCGTTAATAATTTAAAAGATGCCATTGTAAATCAGGTATCTACATATTTATTTTCCGCA